AAAACAAGTGTTAGTACTAAAATTTACTCATGTCTAGAGCTACACAAAGTAAAAGTCAATTTGTTGCTGAATATTTAAGGCCAATACGTTGCGATACTTTAGGTTAATTGATTAATTGATTGATGCAACTTTTTATGGCTGTTTGGATTTTTTTGGCAGTCATTGAACTGTTTGGTCCTTGTCCCAGCAAGCTGTCACTTTCGACCCCGATTTGACTACTTTTCAAACGTCATGTTTTTTTCTTTTTCTTTTTTATTTTTGTCGGTGTTTTAAATAAAAAAGAATATCAATACAAAAAACAATTCTTAGGGTTAAAGCATATTTTAATTGAAAATTACCATTTTATTTCATAATGTCTTAACCTTTTAAGTTCAGAGTATGCTTTAACAACTGGAACCTATTTAATTCCGACGTTTCAAAGGGTGACCATGGCCTCCGATCTTTTTATGTGTAATGAAATTATTTGGCAAAGAAAAGATATGGATTAAAGCAAAAAAAAAAGCAAAAAAAAAGCAAAAAAAGTGAATAAATTCCGCACAGTCGTTTCTGAAGTCTCATCCTTTGTGGATAACCCTGTACTGGCTCTGAAATTATCATAGTTTCAGACTTGTAAGCAAAATAAAACACCATATCTTCTGCACATTATTGATAAAACAAAATTTTAAATGGTACTGATGTTGGAAATCCGGCATTTCAGTAGATGTCGTCTTTCAAGGTTTAGGGGTTTTTCGTTCACAAGAACCACGAGGAAGAAGCTCTGTCTATTCAACACGTAACATGATCATCTTTAGGGGATATTGTGAAACAAAAAAAATCTTGAAAGACGACATTTAGTGTTCTTTATGTATTGTTATTAATCTATAACATCGACAGTCGCTGTACATAACAAAAAGAAAACAGTACCCTCTCTCATTACTTCCTTAAAACTTACAATAGAAACAAAAATGTACACTTCAAAGTCGAGTCAATCTTGAAAATTAATGCACAATTTTCTCACATTGACATGAATATCATTTCAAAACAAATGCAGTAAAATGTTTTTAACTTAAGATATATATTTTATTAACGATTGCTTAAACTTATTTTTAGGGAAGCGTAGTAGGAGTTGCAGGAGTCATGATTTTCCTAGGATTTGCAGGTAAATAGGATAATTGGACTGTGGGATAAATGTCGTCTTTGTTAATCTTATTTCTGAGAATTGTCGCTTGTAAGTATTTTGCAATAATTGCAATGTTGAAACTGATTTCTTTAAAATGTGCAGGGGCCAAATTTAATGAATTTGAGGAGTCGCTGAAGTTCCTACCGCCGGTTTAAATTTAAATTACCAATTTTCTTGAAAATTAATGCACAATTTTCTCACATTGATATGAATATCATTTCAAAACAAATGCAGTAAAATGTTTTTAACTTAAGATATATATTTTATCAACGATTGCTTAAACTTATTTTTAGGGAAGCGTAGTAGGAGTTGCAGGAGTCATGATTTTCCTAGGATTTGCAGGTAAATAGGATAATTGGACTGTGGGATAAATGTCGTCTTTGTTAATCTTATTTCTGAGAATTGTCGCTTGTAAGTATTTTGCAATAATTGCAATGTTGAAACTGATTTCTTTAAAATGTGCAGGGGCCAAATTTAATGAATTTGAGGAGTCGCTGAAGTTCCTACCGCCGGTTTAAATTTAAATTACCAATTCACATGACTCTTTAACTTAAAATCGGTTTTTCAAATTTGAACCTGCAGCAGTATAATTCAGCGATGTAGCTCAAATTCTTTAAATTATGTCCCAGGACACTTTTTTGATATACAGGGTGTCCCATTAAAGAATTTTTGCGGTTTATTTTCTTTAAACTCTTTTACTCAAATATATTTTACTTTGAACTATATTTTACCAAAATATGACTGCCATATAATATACTTTTCATCATTATATTTGGTGTTAAACAACTTATAACAAATAATTGAAGAAGACATTTTAAACTTTTCCCAAATGACATGTTTCGGTGGATACCCTATAGCTCAGTTGCAAATTATAAGATCCTTTGAGAAAAAAGTAGACAAGGAAAATTCAAATGTTATCGCTCCCTATATTTGATGCTTCTGTATAATGTTGAACTTTCATTCAGAACCATATAATTTCCAGCGGAAGAAAAGTTTCGCAAAAAATGCAAAAATTTTCGGTCGCATTTTGCAAACTTTTTCGCGTGCATTTTTTCGGGAAAATAAATAAAGCGAAATGGAAGCGAAATTTCGCGAAAATATTGGGCTCGCGGATAACTCCCTCTTTAAAAATGAGTCTTGAATTCTCAAAATTTAGTCTTTTTTGATGAATTTTCGCAACTTGTACGCTAAAATTTTACATTTGTTTTAAAAAATTCAGTATTTTTTGCGAAATTTTCGGTTTTTTGCATAATTTCCATTTTTTCGGAAAATTTTCGCATTTTTTAGCATTATTTTTTGCTAAATATTCGCATTATTTTTTTTCGAGATTTTTGCATTTTCTATTTCACGAAAATTTCGTATTTTTTCACGAACCAGATTGACCAGAACCAGAAGCAAAATTTCGCGAAAAGAGCAAACGAAATGCCAAAATGAAGATACTCTTCTTGCAAATCAATGGAACTCCGAACTGAGTTGATGAGGTCTGATGGCCAGGACAGAGAGGTCAGAGCGATCATATTTAATGAAATCCAGGTTGATATCCAGGGTGTTTTTGTACAGACAATCAAGTCCTGTCATTTCTACAATGTCATTCTCCTGAATTGCACGTTGGGAAGCATAGGTGAGGCGCATGATGGGGTGGCCAGTGGTCGGCCGGTGGTTGAGGGAGGTCAGAGGTAGGAGGACAGGTCGGTGGTGCATTGCTGCTGTTCATGGCCACATCCAGGTTGCGAGCGTGGTTGATTGGGGTGCTGCAGATCATACATCCCTGTAAGAGGCAGGGAGAATTCCTGGTACATGTTTTCTGAGGCTCCTGGCATGGGGCCTCAGCATTGTCTCCATGGATAACATCCTGTTGGAGAGATTGAACGATGTCCATTTTGTTTCAGATTGGTATTTTGAAATGTAGAAACCTAGGTGGGGTGTCAACAATTAGATGTTAGGTTGGCTAGTTGGTTTGTTGGTTAGTTGGTTCGTTGGTTAGTTGATTCATTGATTAGGCTCCTCAACTCAGACAAAAAGTTGCAAATAATGAGGTAAACAGATATATTTCAAACCTACAAAAAAATACATATATAGTAAAATAGATGATGATGTATAAATGTTTTTGAATATTTAATAAGATAGCTTACTATTTAGGTGTGTCAGGATAATAAGGAGTGATTAAGGTTCAGAGGGTTTGATGGAGTAGTTGAAAACATTTGGAAATACTTCTGAAATAATATAATCCTGGTTGTTTAAGTGGAAATACTATGCATTGCAAAGTTATTTGTGGATTTAATTATTTACTTAGTTAAAACGTTTCTCTATTTGATGTTTTCGTTTTAATTGGAGTACAGAGAAATTGACCGAATATTGCTTTGGTTTGGACTTCTCCCAAAAAAGGACTTGGTAAAGACGACATTACGTGGGGGAGTTAGAAGGTAGATTTATGGTCAACAACTATACTATACATATTTGTACATAGGAGTGGCTGGTTCCTTGTACTATACATATTATAAGAAGAGAAAAACAAGGATTCGTCTTCTAAGGCAAATATTTTAATTATTTTTATTTTACTTTAATGTGTTCTTTTTTTCATTATATTTTTATCTATGAGTTATCCTTACTGTTTGAGAAACTATAAAACGTGTACAGTCGAGAGAAAACAGGTCAAAACTTTTGTGTAAAATAACATTGGCTTCAATTTTATAAAGATAGCTACACTTCATGACACTTGCTATAATTACATTTATATAAAGTTAAATTTCTTATAAGGTTACACTTTCTATCATTATCAGTATCCTTCCGGGTACAACCACAAAGGGATATCCGAAAGGAATGATTTATTCTGTAAGACAGCTCATACGGATAACTGCTTAAACCTGGGATTCAAAACATGAAAGTGTTGACCTCTGAGGCCGAATTTAAAGAATTTGAGCCGGGGCTTAAATTTAAGCTGCGGCGCAAATATGGTTAATTCCACTTAAAATTGTATTAAATTTTTAAAGATGTAAGCCGTGGCTTAATTGAAACCGGTTTTTGGAGGGTTTGAGACGTGGCTTAAATTTATTAAATTCGGACTCTGGCCCCACAACTAAACACAAATTGATTGTTTTTTTTAAAGACTTTTTAAAATTTTATGCTTTTTATAGTCTATTTAATTTTTTTTTTAATTCTCAAAAGGGAAGTATTTAGGAAGATAAGAGCAACAGAATTGTACGACTCTGTACTGGTTCGACCTGGCTATGTACAGCAGGAAAATGTACTGCAGCCTATACCAGAGCAGTACACAAAGAACGATGTGTTTACAGTTCCAACCCAACAGCCACCATTCTCGAACAACTTTCATTTTTCTCAAATGTATTAAAAACAATCTCGCAATTTTAGAAATTAAAATCATAAAAACTGATCATTCGCCTCAAAACCTTTGCAACGTTATATTTTAAACTTTGACTTTTTTATGTTTCAAATATAACAAAGTTCAATTTTAAAGAAGTTGAACCCCGTCTAGACGACGCTTAATTGAATAAGGTTATTGATGGTTCAAATTCTTTATATTCGACCTCATGATCATAAAATTAGAGAATATGAGAAGGTTCATCATTTTCTTTGATTTGATTTATATAATACTGTACATATACAGGGTTACCCACAATGGATGAGATTGTAAAGACGACCTGATGGTTCCAAGGTTAAATTAAGTTTTCTGCCTTAAATATAATTCGTAATGGCTTATCCAATAATTATAAAAAGAAAGAAACAAGAATACGGCTGCAGGGACTGGGGGAATCATTAATATAAAGAAACAGGTAGTGAAAATTCTGCACAGTCGTCTCTGAAGTCTAATCCTTTTTGGGAAGCCCTGTATAATATATATATTATATTTAGTATTAAGTTTTATGTTATCGTACTTTAATTCTAGTTTTTATTTAAATAATGTTGTCAAATAAATCAAAATAGATATGATGAACAACCTTACAACTCGTTCAGTTTTAGATAAGCCGTTTACATGCTTATTTTATTTATTTGGCTTTGAAATAGCCACAATTATATCGAATATGCTTTTCTTAAAAATTTCATTTTTTAAATTCAATATTGATTTTTAGAAACCTTTCCTCTTTTTATTAAAAGGTAAAGATGAATAAGCTGGATAGGAAGGCGCTTAAATGTGAAGAAGTTTAAGTCTGTTTTAGTAAAAACAGTCACAGAATTATTTTGAAGAATAAATATTGGGGGCCGAATATACAAACAATTGTTTATTTTTCTGAATCTATCTTTACACATTTTATAAAGGAAGGAGGGGGGGGGGTGGACGGCTTCTCCCCCCCTTTTGCATTTATGAAGATGAACATATACTACATTTTAATATTTTGTTTTCAAATGTTTATTTTGGAACTTTTTCTTGCATATTATGATTAATAGGTTAAATTATGGTTGGACATTAAAACTCAAATATCCTGAACACATGCCCGTAACTAGAAGCTTTTGCAAGGGTGGAGGGGGGTCACAGTGTTGTAATAAGGAAGGGGCAAAACATTCTTACACATCAAAAAAAGCACTTTACCACCTTAAAAGGGGGGGGGTGGGGGCTTGTAACGTGTCCCATTGGTCAAGCCCTTCCATCTATTGGGGCCCGGTCATTGTATTTTTTTTTCATTTTTGAAACTATAATTCTAAAGTAATATTATTTGTTTATGTTTAAAAATCGAAATAGTTAATTTAACATCTTCCCATACATTTAATAAACCGGTTTTGTTCCTTGTTTATAAACAAATAATTAAATAAACAACATCATCTTCAGTAATACGAGGATCTTAGTGAACATCAGACAGGCATCGTTATGAAGGTTTGTATTTAATTCTACAAAGTTTCCGTACGGTTTTCGAGTACGTTTCTTGTATGAATTAGGACCCGGCCGTCCGTAGAACTTTCTTCTGAGGCCGTTCCTTCCATAGTCTACATTGGTCGACAAATTGGCGCCTTCTAAATTGTCTTGAGAACAATAGTTTAGCAGTTCTCTCTATAGGAAGTGGGCGTGTGGTGCACCTACTTTGGCCGGTCTTATGCTAAGTTCTTATCTGATAGATTATTTCTCCGTATATCTGACGACCAATATAAAAGACGTCAAGTTGTCGACCAATGTAGTTTATGGAAGAAACAGCCTCTGAGTAAAATATAAATTCTTTTTTTCTGAGTAAAATATCTTTAATGTATTGCAGTCAACTTTTCCGAGTACGGTCTAATTAGATCTAGGGCCGTGTTTTGTCGATACTTCAGTTTAAACCTAATCACGATGGGGGTGGGGACCAGCCTCACTCCCCCCCCCCATATGGTTTTTATTTCTTAAAAATGGTTTGCACTCTGATTTTTAACTTGACAGTTGTGAACAAATCATAAGGTAGGGTGGAGAATTGTCGCGAGGGCGTTCCTCCAAAAAAAATAATCTACAGATGTTAAATTTATATGTTCTAAGTATTAAAAAATGTTACTCTTTGTTTGAACCTACCTAGCACATCCCGATCATTCCGACCCTCCCCGAATAACACTAATCCCGATCGTTTTAACCCCCTTATTTACGCCACTGATAACTTGTGACGCATGGTTTTACATCAATTTTTCACGGGCTTTTCAAATATACAATGTTTAGCCCTGAATGCCGATTCATGAAGATAAAAAGCAATTATGATGTGTTTAAAACACCGATCCGATATTTGACTGTCCTCCAACCTACCCTACCCTACCCTATATATCAAATAAAAAATGTGCAAATTGTTTCACATCAATGTTAAATGTGAAGAAGTTAATCATTCGATGTAAGCAGTTTTAAGTTATTGAGAATTTACCCAGGGGCTGTTATTGTTATCTCCAAACTATCTTGTATGTCTAATTCATGTCTTATTAAAGTTAAAATGGAGATATGTTAAATCCTTTTAATTCTGGTATTTTTTATGGTGAGAAACCAGTTTAAGAGGCGGCAGATTTTTTTACGCCGTTTTAGTCCCTTGAAGTATGATGGCTCTTTTAATTACGCCTTCAGTCGCTTAATATATATATGATAAAGAGTCTCTTACGCTTTAATTACACCTTTAGTCCCTTAAACGATATGATGGGGAGTCTCTTTTAATTACGCCTTCAGTCCCTTAATATATATATGATAAAGAGTCTCTTACGGTTTAATTACACCTTTAGTCCCTTAAACGATATGATGGGAGTCTCTTTTTAAATACACCTTTAGTCCCTTAAACGATATATGATGGGAGTCTCTTTTAATTACGCTTTATGCAGCCCCTTAATCTATATATGATAGGAGTCTCTTTTAATTACACATTTAGTCCCTTAAACGATATGATGGGAGTCTCTTTTAATTACACCTTTAGTCCATTAAAATATATGTGATTGAAGTCTCTATTAATTTTTAGTCCCTTTGATGTATATGATGGTAGTCTTTTTTAATTACGCCTTCAGTATAAAGATCTGTACAATAGGAGTCGAATTGGGAAGTGGTTAAGGTTTATTTAAAGTTATTCGAGCATGCTTATATTGTTTTTTTTATTTAGAGAATGTTAGTTCTGCCCCTGGTGGTAGGGTTAACTAGTATCCTTGGATCTACCAGAGCTTCAGTTTGGGATTCTTCAAATTGTAATGTACAGGTAGGAGGGGGAGCTTTTTGCAGGGAGGTTGGGGGAGCATCATGCTCGATAGGATTGAGGGAGCTTCTTGCAGGCTAGTGGGGGGGGGTCTGGCAGGCTAGG